AACACTTAAAATCCCGAAAGCAAATTTTAATACTATCGGGATTTTATTTTCGGGGTTTTGAGCATCGGAATTTTAAGTATCAGGATTCTGAGATAAACCCAAAAATTCCCATTAGAAAATCCGCAATTAGTGATGATCATTAGTGACCCTAACTATATGATTTTAATAGGCCGTTGCACACCCTATTGTTACGTACCATAATTTGATGGGTTAAGGTTCGGGGGTAGCAGTTAGTATTGTTGAAGGACAATGTCATTGAGAAAGACGCTACTAGGTCATGTAATGTTTCTTCAATAATACTTGCAAATGTATAAAAACGTTAGTTCACCCCGTCGTTAGAGGAGGAACCAAAAGAAGAGAAGATGGATGCCCCTTGAACCCTTCTCCTAAGAGAATTCTTATACACTGCTCATATTTATAAATTGTCTGCCTAAATGCTCATTTATCATGAATACATAATTCCTACAAGAATCTTGAGTTTCATCCCGAATCCAAATGGTAACCATAAAAGTGTGACCATGAATCGAAACCCTACACATCCCAGTTCACATTGGAATCTACACAGGATGCTCTCCCACAACTCCCTACTAATCATGATCATAAATTGCCTGATAACAAGCAAGTTTGCGAATATATTAATTTGGCAAATGATTGACTGCACGTTGTGACGAAAAATAACGTGACATTTTGAATAAGCTTTGTGTAACGCTATAGCTTATAGTCACGGGGTATTGTTATACTACATTTGCGTAAATAGTATATAGTTAATTTGAGTCTAATAAAAAGTATATAAATAGAGACATTCTTTGTAAATAGAGGTAGAGTTTTCAGGATGTTCTTCTTTTACTCGATTAGAAGAGAGTAATAGGTTGATTAGTATTTTAGAGGGTTATTTGTGTACCGGATACACTTGTTAGGAAGATACTTACTTGTATCGCTTATATCTTTAGTACATTTAGTGCCTTGTACGTAATAATAAATAATCGGTTGTCTACTTTTAATGCTTACGACCAGAGTTAATTTGGCAGTGCAGTTATAAAGTCTCTCCCTTGTCGTAACAACGTACCGCAAAACGGCAAGTGTTCATTTGCCAAATTACCGTTTCCGCAAATTTTTGCCCAATAATATATACTTATCAACCTCGATCGAGTGCAGAAATTTAGGATTCTTAATCTCTGCATGTAAATAATACATAAGAACAAACGTACGTACGCATACTATTAAGTGTTTATTTTTCACATGCATGCATGTGTGCGGACCCAATCAAATTAATTTTTTTTGAAACTAAAGGAGTTTGATTGGATCCGCACAGATGCGGGTACGTGAAAATAAACACTGTTGCTACTAAATTTGAATTGGCCGTTATTGGGTATGACATATTTAGTTAGTTGGCGCTTGGCACTACGTAAAATCTATGCTTTTTTTTTTACGGAACTTTGTTGCTGCTTTTTTACTTTTTACGGAATCAGCCCACTTTCTTTAAAATAGAAGGTATGCAAAAGTAACACGATTGTATAAAGGTATTCTATACTTAGCGTATGCTCAGAGCTGCGCTGCTCAGGCTATGCGCTCAAGATTTTTTCGCTTGTCGAATAGTTGTATCATAAAAAAATTCCTTTGATTTCTAAATAATAGAACTAGGGTATTGCACGTGTCGGACGACTTTGTCGCCCGCTTGTAGCTTTTAAATTGTACTTTACAGAGCATAATGGAAGTTTGCTTTATTAGTTGTTTATTTCTGTTGGAAATCACTGCTATACAAACTTTATAAAAGAAAGCGAGCTAAAATATGCAAAATAATTTTCATAGTTAAGCTTATCTAAAATTTTATTATAATGATTTTAGTACCATTCTTTCGTGTAAGGAGTTGAGATTGTATGAGGTAGAATGTTTCACTAACTTTCATTATAGACAATTTTGAAGATAGTAGTATATAGTACAAAGTTATTACATTAAATTTTTTGCAATAATTAATATACAAATGATGGACTTTCAAAGTAAAAGTCTCAACTTCACGTAAGCAAGGTATTGTAAATAATGACTACAGTAGTGTGATGGGTGGCGCTATACATAGGTGTCTAAATTATTTTTTAAAAAAGAATTTCGACAAGCATTCAATATTGCAAGATTTTATATGAATTCCACAAAGTAACTATACTGCTAATGTACTTTGGCATAAAGAATTCAAATTAATTTTGCCACTAAGTAAAATTAATTTCGACAGACTAATGCCGAAATAATTTTTTATTAAGAAAAGTAATTTAGACGTCATGTATAGATGGCGCTTCGTGCCACTACTTTTTTTGGTTTTATATGCAGAATACTACATGCCAGATTCATTGTTCATAATATTTTTAAAAACATTTCTAGCATAAAACATCAAACCCATAATTAATATTTAATATTAACTAGCCCTTAATACAGTAATATTCAAAAATGCCATTCATTTTTATTTTGAAATATCTATAAACCATAATAAATCATAATTAAGCCAATATCAGAATTATACTCAAGGTGATATGATTACGTTTATGTGTTAAGGCAAAAATTTTTTAAATTCTATCTATAACATTTTTGATTATGCGTGTAAATTTGAGTATGTGAATTATGTAAAATTCAAGCGATGGATAAATTTAAAGCGAATTTACACATAAAGGACCAGATTTGAAAATAATTAAGGTGATGGCCCAAAATAAAAATTCTTACATATAGCGGCTCAAAATCAAAATTTATTACAGCACAATCATATCGCTGAAAATAAAAAGATAACTCGGTGGAGTTCGAAGTTCCAAGTTAAAGAAATTAGAGTATTTAACTTGTGAGTAGTAAGTCCTTTAAGTAGAAGCGTTTGTTCTACTAATTCCCACCCCCCGATAAGTCAAATCCGTAATTACGATTGGAAATCCCGTGATTCGGTATAAAGAAATTCGTGACGTAGTCTAGAGCTTTAATTGACCCTAGTTACTCGGACCAAATCAAACCACGCCTCAATCGAAACCTACCAGCTAGGGTATAGAGGAAAGATTTTGTAGATTTAGTAGATTCTGTGTTGAATTTTAAAGTAAAAGCGACCCCTTTTTAGCTTAGTTTTATTGTCATACCGTTTTACACTGTCACAGCACCCCAAATTTTGACGTGAATTTTAAAATTGGTTATAACTTTGAGCGAAGAAATCTAGACAACCAGCCAACCAATTTGATAAACTATTTTTTATTTTGATTCTACAGAGCTGTATAATCGTTCTTCAAACTTGGTTGGGTAGTAGCCGAGGTATCATAAGGTTGGGTATTTTGCGTAAATTTCAAATTTTGAAGTTACGTCTAAGTTACAACAATTTCTTAGTATAAGTTATGTAAGAAAACTATAACTTACAAAATTTGCCCAACCCTAGTTGTCAAAAAATATTGCGTGATTTTGTGTTATTCTGTATATTTTTTGTGTAAAAAATTTGGAAATGCCTATTTACACCACATTTTTGTTATTGTCACCCTTAGCTGGTCTTTAATCCTAACCTTAACCTTAAATTAAATTAGAGTTAGGGTTAGAAAAGGGTGGCATAAACAAAAATAAGGTGGCAATAACAACACCCAAAACATTTTATTTCGATATAAGTTTACGATAAAATTCCTTTTCAGACATTTATTAGATGAAGTCTATACAATTATTATATAAATATGAAACGAAAATAAATTTAATTTCTTTATAGTATTACAAAAACTCCCATCCAAACCATTAAATACCTTATTTACGTTTATGCCACTCATTCCTCAATTTTGAATGTAATACAGCATACAACTTATGTCGCACTTGAGGTTGTCGCTGAATTTGCAATTTCAATTACGTACGTACGTACGAAACAAACACAAATACAATATTTAAACAAAATGTGTACTACATAATTGTTTCAAAAAGGTTTCTCACTTAATTGTACGCGTATACATACATTTTCTTATCCTAGAATTTCAATTATTGCTTTTCATTATAAATTGTTTCTTGAAACCATGGAATCACCAAATGCATGGGATGTTAGCGATTTATCTAGCCATTTAAATGTAAATGGACTTGAAGTGAATTATGTAGGCCCGGGCAAAAAATGGGTTGATTCTGCAATGATAAAAACAAATAATCCAATTCCTCAATGTGAATTATACGTATTTTATTTTGAAGTTAATATTATTAATGGAGGTGAAAATGGGAGTATTGGAATCGGATTTTGTACTGAAGATTCTAAGTTAGACACTATGCCTGGATGGGGTGATAATTCTTGGGGTTATCGCGGTAACAATGGAAATCTTTATTGTCATTCGGGATGTGCAGAACCATACGGACCACTTTTTACTACTAGAGACATTATTGGATGCTGTTTAAATTTTAAACGAAATATTGTATTCTACACAAAAAATGGCGTACATTTAGGAATTGCATTCAAAGATTTTATAAATGAAAATGTTAAATTATATCCTTGTATTGGATTAAGATCGCGAGGCAGCTCTGTTGAAATAAATTTTGGCAATAAAATGTTTAATTATGTAACATTCACTAATTATGACATTGATAATGAAATTTCAAAAGGTGTTTGGAAGATGGCTTTAGATATGCGCAGCTACAAAGCTTTAAGTGAACAGAAAGACATGTTTGAGAAAATAATAAAAAAAAAAGGAAAAAACCATCAAAAATTCAAAGCAAAGGCTTATTTTATTTTAGGCAGATATCATAATGCGCTCGCAGAATTCAGTTATGCTTCAAAAAATGATGCAGTAATGCTAAGGTATCGAGGAGAAACTTTCCATATGCAAGAAAAATATTCAAGATCACTTAAAACTTTTGAAAGATTGCTAGAAATAAAGCCAGATGATACGTGGGCATTAAAGGCCTGTGAAGAAGTGAGAAGAAAACAGAAACTGGTCGAATCAGAGAGTGGAAAAGCTTATTATGCTCAACAAAAATGCCCCGAGGAAGAAGAAGAAAAGGAAGAGAGAATTAAAGAAATTGAAAAAATGATGGGGATTAATGGAACTAATGGAAACATGGAGGATGAGCAAGTTGAGAAATTAATTGATAGTTTTTTGATTAATAGAATAAAAGAATTGAACATTATAGATTTTGATGATCGTGTGGATTTAAGAGTGAAATGGAATAAATACAAAACATATTTGATGCGCCCGAAATCAGAAATTTACTTTCTTCGATCGATACTAAGTTATTTAGAGTCTCTAAATTCAGAAAAATACTTGAAAATATTTGGAATAAATTTAGAAAAAGAAAGTTTTGAGAAAATTTTGAAAATAAGCTTGAAAAATTTTTTTGAAATCTTTTGTGACGATTCAAATAAGATAGTCGAGAGCTTGGATGATTTTATTTATTATGAAAGAGATTTTTTGGAAAGGATTTTAAATATAAAGATTAAGAAGAATGCATCAACTACTAGTACATACACATCTGAATACGTAACTCAACTAAGACGTGATATTGATATGGAGGGTATAGAATATTATTCATCTATATCTGAGTACATAATTCAACCAAGATATAATATAGAGAGTATAAAATATTACAATATTCCACTATCTACTAGAAAAGAAATAATTGAGAAAATAATGAAAAGTTTCAGGAGGAGGAATAGGGATATTGGTTCGAGAGACCGTATTTTTGGAACTTGCGCACGTTGTAATTTATATAACACATATCAAGCTTGGTGCCGAACATGTGATCCTGATATAGAAACTCAAGGATGGTCAAGTAAAGATGAATGCATTGATAATTGTATTAAGGAGTTTCAACGTAAAGCTGCAGCATATGAAGATATAATTGAATGGATTCCATTCAATCGGTTAACTAATATTAAAGTAATTGGCAAAGGAGGATATAGTACGGTATTTTCAGCAATTTGGTTAGATGGGATAAGAAAAACTAAATATGAAAATGGAGACTATGTGAGATCACGTAACCGATCATGTGTAGTTGCAATCAAGACTTTGACAGGTGATAAAGCGAATAGTCTTATTGAATTTGGAAAATGTGTGGAATGTAGATTAATCGGTAGTGGACTTAAAATATATGGATTAACTAAAACAAACGATAATGTATATATGATGGTATTTCAATATGCAGATGGTGGAAGTCTTTTCAAATATTTAGTAGAAAATTTTAGAAAGTTTACATGGGAAAATAAATTACAACAGCTTGAATATATTTCGGCAGATTTAGCTCAAATCCACAAGGCAGGATATATCCATAGTGACTTACATAGTGGAAACATTTTATGCCATAATAATATATCATATATCACTGACCTTGGAACATCTCGAAAGAAAGATAAGCAGATGCTTGAAGGAATAATTTATGGAGTTATGCCTTATGTTGCACCAGAAGTTCTATGTGGTCAACAACCTTCGCAGCCAGCTGATATTTATGGTTTAGGTGTTATTATGTCAGAAATGACAAGAGGAAAAAGACCCTTTGACGAATATGACATCGATGCTGGTCTTGCATACATGATTTGCAATGGTTCACGACCAGAATTTGCTCCAGGAACTCCTGAATGTTATATCAAATTAGCGATGCAATGTATGGATTCTGATCCACAATTACGGCCAAATGCTATTGATATTTTTTCAAACTTTCATCAGTGGAAACAAATTTTAGAATCTGCCGAAAGTCATGAAATTAAAACTCAATTCTTAAAGGCTAACGAATTTATTGAAACATTGCAGATTGTGTAAGGTTTCCAAATTCTGTTTATACTAGTGCAAAAATTAATACGCATGAAATTAAAAATAACTTAGGTTTGAATATGGGTTTTCGCAAAATGGAATTTAATATTCCTAATATACGTGATGGGATTTGAGAGCTAAACTCTGAAAGTTTCAAACATTGCAGTTATACATGTGGGCGGCTTTAAGATGCCTGACGAAACTCATGTGACCAGACTAAACATGTACAGCAAAAATAATTTCGCCAAGCATTATGTGTGACTTTGTCACTAAGTTTTATTTAGATTTAATTTGAATAAAATTTTATATTCATACTAAATTAATGTGAATTATATTGTTAGCATGTATAATCTTTTGATTATTGATTTAATTAGGTTGTAAATAACTTACAACCGGATAGTTATTTTAAAGCATACATGTTGGACGCCGCTTTTAAATGGTACCTGAGTTTAAAATTTAAAATGTACATCAAATTTTAATACACTCGTCCCTCATTAATATCAACCCCGTTAATATCAACCTAGGCTATAAATATATGTTAAAATAATATTAAAATTTCCCCATATATATCAACTTTAATATGTTCCCTCATTAATATCACTATCAACATGAATATAAAAGTAATCCAAATAGGTTGATATTAATGAAGGACGACTGTACAGTATTTAAAGAGCCTATAATTTTCCCGATAAACAAAATCCCGACCATAACCCTAACCTAAAGCGTATATAAGCTTTTTTTTTTTGTTTTTTTTTTTAAAAAAAAGAGTTAATATTATTTTTTTTACAATATGGGTTTCGAATACTTAATTAGTTCATTTCTTTCAACTCAAACCTTTGAAAAAAATTATTGAACATTAAATAAATAATCGAAAAATATATATATGAATTATTACAAATACTTCGTTGTCTAACCGTTTACAAAACCCAGCAAGTAAATATGAAAAGTCTAAATTAAATAGTAGAGATTATTAATACTTTAAGTTGGTTAAAGCTGAAGTTAACAAATAATTGAACTGTTAATCGGATAAACATAATCATAGAACTCATTGAAGGCTTTTTATGCCGTTATTTGTCAATATAAAATTAAAAAAACGTCAATATGTTGTTAAATTTAAACCAGTTGACCTTGTAAAGATTCGAATCCCAACATCAATAGGCTAAAAATGGATGTATAGGCGAGTAATTCCTTGTAATGTTATTCAAATTGTGACTTGTACCAGGTGCAATGCAAATTTGACTGATGACTTTCCAGAACTCAGAACTCGACATAATTCCAATAAGCAAATTCGTTCTCTATGAAATGCAGGTTTCCAACAAAAGCCGACTAATAAACTTCTTCGGAAAATATTACAAAGAAGTATCTAATCGAGAACTAATCAAAACACAAGTAATAATTTTTATTATAATAAAAAAATTACGAAAGAACCGATATAATAAATAAAATTATACTGATTAAAAATACGACATACGTTTCTTTACAATTTTGAAGCTGCGTGCATAAATTTTTAATTGACGGAAATTTGAAAATGACGTCTAACAGAAACAACTATTTCTTATTGTGTTGATCATGATCGGCCAAACATACTTTGAATACTAACTTTAAATTTTACTAAGAATTTTTTGTGAGCATGCTCAGCTCAGATAGTTCAAATAGTGATACAAAATATATACAGTTAATTCTTTCTTTTTACATTAAAAAAGGAAAGGTTATCGCGAGCAAAGAAAAAAGCATTCAAAAGTTACGCACATGAACAAACATAACTACGTTAACAAATATAGGGAGTTAGCATTTTGTTACTGTATTAAGTACGTTAGAAAAATTAAAACTTGTTTAGGATAAAACGACCATAGCCAACCACCCTAACGCCACTAACCAAATCTAACAAGCACAAATCTAAATACTGTATATTAATACAGTATACGCACGTACCAATGCAAGAAGCCAAAATTATGCCATTTTAGTCACAAGTTAACGCCTCAGTTATGGTACTCAAACTCTTGTATGACTACTAATATTACAGCCAATACTGCAATAGAACAATATTCCTAATATTAAAACTAATCGATCAAATTCCTAATAATAAAACTAATATATAGAACAATATTCACGAAACGATTGAATATATCTATAATAGTCTATAATGGTCATTGCATTGATACACAGGTGTTATACGTAAATATTTTATCATAATCTACATAACCGACTGGTTATTACATTATATATTTATAGATGTTGAGCCACCAGACTATTTCTAAAGATTGTTGAGCTGCTAAATATAGTTATTGGGTAATCGGGGAAGGTGACAGAGCCAACTATACATTGAGTAACATTCCCGAAAATTCTTTAGCATTGACTTTTATTATAAAGTCCCTGAAAATATTTCGTTGAAATACTTTTGGCAAATCATGGTGTAGTATCTACAGTATGGCATAGACAAAGAAATAATGAAAAGATGCTAACATCATTGGCAAAACGAAATTTTGAATATTCACTATATTTATAACCTCACTTTGATATGGTAACCACGATTAAACCTTCATTTCTTCTTTACACATTTGACATTTTATATTCATTTTTCTTATGAATAATTACGCACTTTACATGTTATTATCGATATCTTATTGTTACTATACCTTAAATTTATTACTTTAATCGTCTCACTGATACATTACTTACTGCATTACGATTAATGACCAAATCCTGCCATGAGCATACTAACCCATTACTGCATGATCTCGCAGTAATGCTAGGCTCTATGACAAGCAATCAAATGGGTTAGAATTAATGTTGGAAATCCAAATTGATTTTGATGTTCTCACGAGTAGGGTTGTTAGTGGAGTACTCCAAACTATAATAAAACATATAACCCGCTTCTGGAGTGCTCCAAAGTGGATTATACGTTTTATTATTATCTAGTGCACTCCATTAACAATCCTATTCATGAGAACTATTTTGTTTTAAATAAAATTTTATATTGCTATTAAATTAATGTTCTCACAAACTATTAACGTTAATAAACACGAGAAATTATCGTTATTTATTCTGAGAACGTGAGAACATAAGATTTCCAACACTGGTCAAGAAGGTTCACTAACTAAAAAGAAACGGCTAATGAAATCATTTGTTTCTTTTGGAGTAAATTAATTATTCAATTTTGGCTAACTTATTCTGGATTGTAATGAGTGAATGATGTAATAGTGCTGGTAAACTTTCATACTTGGCGCCAGTCACTATCGCCATTAAATGTGCGTAAATGTTAACATATTCTATAACAATAACGATAAGTACAGAAGTATACTTAAACATAAACGTACTGGTGCGTGCGTACATACGTAACGTAATTTATTATTCAGCGCAGCACCGAATTGAAACTTTTAAGTTTATGATCAAACTATAAAGAGTTAGTGTGTACACATTTTAGTTATGTCACATATGGACGTGCAGGACTTAACGTTAATGATGTATCCTTTTCTGTGAAACAAACTGACTGTTTATATTGCTACGGTAGATATCGTATATCGATAAGCAAACTCTAGACTGTAGTTTATCTTTACAATGAAAGATCAATTCGCTGACGCATATCTTTCGTCTTTTCGTAAAAAGGACAAAGATGGTATTGATTCTGCTTTAGCACGAGGAGCTACTCTTAACGATTTGTTCGAAAATTTACCTGATGATCCTTTATTAAAAAAACCATACCTTAATTTATTCAGTGTTTACAAAAATGAAGATATTTGGGAGGCAAAACCTCGGCAAGTTGGTGTGGATCCTCATGAGGATTCTTTATATATAATGCCTCTTCCTGATGAAAAAAGAAGAAAGAAAGGGGAACTTTCAATATGTAAAGGTGGTATCGAGACTTTTAGAAGAAATTGGAAGTTATTTACTGAAGGTAAAAAATGAATTATTTAATTTTATAATTATTTAATTTTTATATTTTTATCTTTTCATTTCTATTACTATTCCTAATGCTAATTTGTTGTTATAGGCTGTCTTGATGGTCTAGATTGGAATAATGTCATTGTTTCTGGTAACATAACGACGATAAAATTCTGATTTTCATAATTAAACATCCAGAACATTTAATTCTTAAGATTTATTGCATATTACAAAGGTGGATCGGTTTTTGCTTGCCTTCTTCCGCTTCCTGCCAAAGATCAAAATAATCCTTATAAAATTAGGAAACATTATAATGAAACTTTTGCTAGCTCTGATATTGATATCCATTTTTATGGAATTGACGAAGAAGCTGCCAAGAAAAAAATGCTTCATATATACGAAACTGTTTGTCGTAATGTTCCCTTCAAAGTCATTTGCGTTCGTGGGAAAAATTGTGTGAATATAGTTAGTCAATATCCTTATCGGCATATTCAGGTGAATAATAACAATATTACTATTGCTATTAAACCGTATCATTATTTGTTATTAATTGTGTGATCTATATATCAATGTAGATTGTGCTAAAAATTTTCAAAACTCCTGCTGAACTCTTTACAAGAGTTGACATGTACGAACATATCTTAATTTTTAATATTATTTAAATAGTTATATTATGTAAAAAATTGATTAACTTTAAAACAGTGCTTCTACAAGCGTTGCTTATGATGGCAAGGAAGTATGGACTAATCCAAGGGGTAAGTTTGATAATAAATAGTAATAAAGATGAAAAAATCATATCATTATAATTAGATAAATGTTATGTCTATTTGTTCATTGTTCGTTGATTTAATTTTTAGGCCACCAAGCACTGATAACTCAATGCAATTTGATCGAATTAAGCCAAAGTAGTTATTCATATGAAACTCGTCTCGCTAAATATGCTGAAAGAGGATTTGAAGTATGTTTTAATTCGTTGCATCATAACATTAAAACTTTTTATATCGTTTGACAAATATCTCATTATATTTCTTGTTTCATATGTATTAAAAAAAAAGATCAAGTTTCCCGATTTAAAAAGGTTTTTATTTAAGACAATTTATCGTACAAAAATTCCAACATAATATCAACTATGTTAATGTTATAAATTTACACATAATTTTTTGAAAAAAAGAGATCGATTAAATCCTGCGAATTTTCAGCGCCCGTTTCATAAGCTCCAAGGACTTTCCAAATTAATTGTTCTCGAAAAGTATGCCTTTCTAAAAAATTTAATGAAAAACCATGATTATTAATGTTTTTAAAAAATCGATTTTATATATTTAATTATTTAATGTACGTGCTTAGACTACCCACTCCTGATGAACGAGTTCGTTACATTGAAAATAGAGGCACACAGGTAATGAATAAATCCTAGAATCATTTGCGTTTCACTAAACTAATTCGCCAATTCAATATATATATATATTTTTTTTTAAAGTCTTTGCGTCCAAATTTACCATCTACGTATCAGTCGCGTCAATATGCAAGGTCATCTAACCTTAAAATTAGCAAATTTATAAATAATGACTACGAAATAGTTAGTCTTCCGTATGGTCCAGGATTTGATGCTGACCAAATTAGGGACTTAATTTATAAAAAGGTATTTTTTTTGTTTGAAATCTTGTAACTCCAATTTTTAATTTTAATTCTTTTGTATACCTGTGATGGAAAATTAGGATATGAAATTAAATTCTTTAAAAAATTATTCTTCTGAGCACCCTTATTTACATCGTCACCCATGCTTTTTCGGTACCATGCATCAAATTTTTCGAGATTGTTGTGGTTCATGTCCTCAAGCTCAGACTCCAGATGAAATAAAACTTCAAGAAGAAAATGATCGATATTACATTAATGGTGAATTAAAATTTATCAAAAATCATTTTGATCCAATGGATCCTGGTATTAAGAATACTCAAGATGAATGGACTGCTGATGCTTACATTATGGAACCGCGAGAAAATTTATGTATCGCAGCAACCAAGGGTGATGCTATTTGGATTCAACAAATTATTCAAGAACATGGAAAAGACCTTGATTTAAATGCCAGAGATCAATTTGGTAAAACTCCACTTCAATTAGCGATACTTGGAGGTCATCTTGCAGCAGTAAAACAATTAATTGAAAATGATGCAAAAATTACAATCAGAATGCTTGATGGACTTGGTCCACTTCATTTAGCCGCAAAATCTGGTAATTTAGATATCATTGAAGAACTTTTAAAAAAAAATGCTCAAAATGAAAAACTTAAAGAACAAGATGAAATTAATAAAGAGTCTTCAGTCAGTAATGATACTGAAAATGATGATAATGAATCTGATGATTCTCTTGATATTATCGATCCAAATGAATTGGATGATGCTATGCAAAATGTTGGAGATGAGCAAGAAAAAGTAGAAGAAGAAGATGATGAAATAAGCTATGATATAATTGATATAAATCTTGAGTCTTGGAACCATTCTTTTTCTCCTCTCGAATATGCAATCATATTTGGGCATGTTGATGTTGTAAAACGTTTAATTCAAGCCGGAGCTAATGTTCGTCGACGTATAATAATCAAGACTACAAATTTGTATCACGGACAAGTCATTAGGATTTATTATCCATTATGTCTTTGCCTTTTAACTAGGTAATATTAAATTGTGTTGCATTACTATAATATTTATTGTATCTCTGACTCATCTTTCATCTTTTAATTATAGGAATGCACAGAATGGTCTTGAAATTGCATCTATTTTGATAAAGAATGGCGCACATTCCTCTCAGGTATGGCTATGATGGTTCTTTAATGGACTGCATTGTATTGAGTATTGATTAATTAACTATCGTTCGATATTTTTTTAGCTCGATTCTAACTATGACACTATACTACATTTTGCTGTAGATGCTGGTATAGTTTTGTTTAATACAATGATTGAATTTTATTATTATTTGAATGGAAATAATCTTTATATTCGATTTTAGGAAAATTGGACTTTGTAAAATTGCTTTTAGACATAGATCCAAAAGCGACTAGAATACTTAATTTTCTTAATATGGATCGACAATCTCCAGTAACAATTGCCGTGAAAAATGGAAATCGAGAAATGTTGGAATTGCTATTGAAATACGGTGCTCATGTAAGTATCAATTTGTCGAGATGCGTAACAACTAGATTCTATGACACACGTACACATATTTTTATCTTCAGTATTGATTTGAATAATTCACTCAATTGCTCAATTGCTTTCTGCTTTATAAATAAATAGGCATCCATAACCTTGGAAGATTTTAATGAACTTAACAAATATCAAAAAGCATATTACAAGTACGAAGAAGATATAGAGCAACCAGTACTATTGTCTCTTGAAAATGGCCTTTCACGCTTATTGATTGAAGCCGGTGTTCACGTAAATTCTTTGTTTTATAACTCAAAAGAGACTTTATTGGATCGAGTGGTTAAACTTATTAACGACAATGTTAAGAATTTACCTGACTTTAAGATTTCTGATACTATTGAAAGGCAAATTAATGCTACACATATTAAATCATTAATTTCTTCGGAACTTAAGAAACATCCCGTTGATTCATATGTTGGATATTTACTTTCAAGAATAGATGAATCGCAAATGAATGATACTATTTTTAAATTAACGCCTTTAAATTCGATTTGTGATAAAATTGATGAAAAAGAACCGAAAAATCGAGAATTATTGGAAAAATTACGACAACTCGATGAATGCTTTGTATATTTATATGAACGTGGTGCACAAATAAGTCTCGAATTTGAAGTAAATCAACATGCTATTTTGGGCAAATTGGAAGAATTAAAAACAAAAGAAGATTTACTTGCTAAGAAACGAAAACATTTAGAATTGATAAATACACATAAATTACAAGAAACAACAGAAACCAACATACAGTTGATAAAGGCTATATTAGAAACACAGATTGAGATATTGAACCAAATTGTTGAGCATCAAAATAAATTCTTTGCACAAAGAATACCATCAAGTCAACAAATAATTAATATTTTGAAGAAATCATCAAAAGATCTAATAAAGGATACAAAGAACCCAACTTCTGATGATATTTATAAAAATATTATTTCTTTTAAATATCTAAATGGGTCCTTTGTACCTGAATCCATTTATGAACAGTACACAAATCTTTATCAAGCTCTATGGGATAATAATACTGAGCTTGTTGAGTCACTAAGTTCAGATCTTATCATTGCTGTTCAAGATAAAAATGGCATGACACCATTTATGTTGGCGTGTTATAAAGGTTACGAAAATCTGGCGATTCAAATTTTAAAAATAGCTGAACGACAATATCTACCTAAGGACTCAAATGACCAAGATCCTAATAAGAACAAAACCTTTATTAACAATTATGACCTTTTAGGTTTTTCATCGTATCGATATAATTTTTGTTCTCATTATTCTTTCATAGTAATATTTATATATGTATATGTTTTTTTTTATCAGAAACCTATTCGGATTATTCGAATGATTATGATTCCGAAGATGAAGCTGCCCCTGAGATACCAGCAGAAACTGTTATTGATGAAGTGCAAGATACGAAACCAGCAGTTCATATTGAAATTACTGCATTACAATTATTACGACAAACAGGCTACTATTTATCCGCAAAATATGAACTTTTGCAAATGAAGTGTAAAAAACAATTTATTCAAGGATCATTTAATGGACTTGCATTGGCAGCATTCATGAATCACGTCAAAGTTATCAAAGAAGTATTGACATGGGCTGAAACTTATCAAAAAGTAAAAGGTAATTATAATGTTTATTTTTATTGTTTATAATTTCTACAAACATGGAAAATTAGAATCAACATAGTACGTAAATTATTTTCTAACTCATTCATAATTGATAGATGACAAAGAAGACATGACAAACTTGGTTATGCAATTAATAAGAAATACAAATACATATGCACCTTTGACTACTTATAATTATAACAATCTTATGCAATGCGCTATGTTTGCTGATAACGTTGATGTGGTCGATTTGCTAATAGAGTAAGTAAATTTAATGATTTTGAAAATGATTTTGAAAATAATAGTAGTTTTAAACTCTTTTGACTATTAGATTTGGAGCCGGTGGAAACTCGTTTGGAATGTTTAATATCGAGAGAGATGATGAAATTGAAGCCATTATAAAGCAAATTAAACCAATGTATATATATATATATTTTTTTTTTTTAATCGTGCCAAAATTTTTTAAAGTATAAACTAATAAAAGGTTTATTTGCTAGGTCTTATATTGGATTAAATATTAATGGCAAAAAAAAGAGATCATGGATTTCTCGACATAATCCTTATATTCTTCAGCAAGCAGTCGATCCATCTTTTCTTCACATGGCAGCTCATTATGGAGCTACAAAAACCATTGAATATTTCTTAAGCTTACGACCAATCGAAGCATTACAGAGATTCTCTTCATTGCATTGCAAAAATTCCAATATTAAAAATATATTGTTGACAGACCAAGAAATTCTTAAAGTTGGTCGAGTTTTATTTTGGTTTTATTTACCCAAAGCAGATACCCCATTTCATTGGGCCGTTAAAATGAACAAACCAGAGTCAATTAAAGAATTAGCAAATATATATAAAGGTTTTAAAAAAGATGATGATGAACCTCTTGAACAAATAATCAATCAAGAAAGTTTTGATCGTTATGTAACACCATTTCTTCTTGCTGTTATTGAAGATAAGATTGAATGCGCAGAAGCATTGTTGGAAATTGGAGCTGATCCTTCTATTCCCGATGAGTTTGAATGGACCGCATTGCATCATGCTGCGTAAGTAATATTTTTTTGATGATTAATACATGTTTTTTTTTAACTTATACATATTTTGTAATTTATTAAATTTTGCAGGTATCAAGGCAATTTGAAAATGTTACGATTTCTTTTTGATAAATTGGATCGTAATATAACTCAAACAATGCTTGAAACACAAACTATCGATTACAAACACACACCAATTTCAATTGCTATCCTTGAAGGACGAAAAGATACATTTCAATTTTTACTTGAGAGAACAACCAATACCTCCATTGTTGACTTTGCTCACAACAATTATTTACATCTTTCTGTTAAGGAGAGTTCTCTCGGAATTACAAAAATCTTGTTATCGTTGGAAGATCATGAGAAAAAGTCAGGGGAAAAGTCAAGTGCTCTTAATTATCTTTGCTGTGAGAACACTTCAGGACAAACTCCTATTGATATTGCAGTGAATCAATTTTTGAAAGAAATTCATGATACAAACACCTTGTCTGATGGATACATCAAGAAGCCAAAAGATCAAAGATATGTTTCAAATAGATCTTCTTACGTGGCTTTACAGCGATATATATCAAGGCAATCTATTTCTCGATGTTCAAAACAAGAAGAAATAGAATATTATCAACCATTTGAAGTTTTTGACCTTTTGCAAAAAGCCACTGAAAATATAAATTCACGAAAAGACCTTATTTCATTCAAGGATGCTAAAGATATGATTTATAAGGGCATAGATATATGGCGTGTACTAGAAAATTATTTTGTTGACAAAGAAGTATATGCTATTCCTGAAGTTAAAATTTATATTTGTAACTTTATTGATGATTACACTAAATCTGTGTGGTGAAATAATTTCATCATTATTGGGTGAACTGGGGAAATTTGATGAAATTAATTTCATCGGCATCTTTAACTATAAATTACTGTACTAAGCATTAATTTATACACCTCAACTTGATTGATTATTGCCATATTCGTTCTTATTTTGAGCAACCATAAATAAAGTTCAAAAATTAGCTATAGATTTATTGTAAGATATATACAATAAACCTTTTTTTTTAAAAAAAAACATGCTATAATGTTGTATAATGTTGTATTTAATGCTTATAGTAAAGAATCATTCAACTTTAGAATCTTGATTATTTTTACCTTTCTTTTAACTTTAATTTCATGAATTATAGCGGCCTGGTTCTGATACTGAAATTTGAGGGTCTCGATTTGAAAATATAAAATCCACATATACTCTATCAATTCTAATTCCAAAAAATTTTAAAATTTCATATCAAAATAGATCCAGAGTTCAGCATCAGCCGTGACAAGAATTTTTAAGTATTAAAGAATAAATTAAAAATAAATCTATTTCTCATTATTTCAAATTCATTATACAAATCAGCAAAGTAACGCTGATGAAACAATATTGTTACGGAAACGAAAATGAACGAATTTGCCTATGAAATGGAATGGAAGTTGAAAAGGATACGATGAAATGAATAATGCTGAGGTCAACAGTAGTGCCGAAATTAGGTCGTATTAAAAATCTATTTAGTAAATATGAAACTCGATCAACCAAAGTTTTTGTTTCTCCGCTTTAATTCTTTCTATTCGTGTTATCTAAAGACAAAATTAACCGTGTTGATATTATGGGTTGTTGGTTTCTGGTTAAATTTGACCGGTTAATTTAACCAAACTCGAATCAACATAAATTAATTAACTTGGTCAAGTTGAATAATATTATTTACGCTAGTATTATTATTATGCAACAATGTAATAATTAATTAATATACTCTGTAACGAATAATTTTTTTGCAATTATCTTTTAATATTAGTACACTTCGCGAATAAAATGCTATTTCCAAAGAAATATTTAATAATATACTTTATGAATTTATTCGGTTAAAATCTAAATATCAAAATGCCGTAAACACGATACAGTATGAAAAACTTAGAGTACAAGAGTAAATTCATTCATAATATAAGGATACAGGAAATTTAATTCATAATAAAATCCAAATTGAATTCAAAAAGTTATTTTTGAAATTGAAGATTGTTCGATTTCAAAGATCGGTTGATCTAATATTGATCGGAAAATTTTGTCTTGCAAAGTATTGAAAGGGGTTTCAAGGATATATATTATGAAATTGGTTGCGCTAATAGAATTTTAGGTGCTTGTTTTCGTGCATGTGATATAGGTTTATTAGAATCATTTGACTATCCTGAATTAACTGAAATGCTATCCATCCAACTTTTTTTATGAACAGTCGCTATAAAAGTAATGCATTTATAAGCAAAGCAGTTTGTCTCTGTAAAGGCAATTGTCTGTCTAAACGTTGTGCTTGTGGTAAAAATATACTATTCATTACCCTTAACTTCGAAAGCAGTGTGGGGTGTACACACCTGCCTCAATCTACACACACACACACACAAACATATGCGTTTGCATGTCTTATTTAAACCTCAACATGAACATGCGCGTTCGTTCTTGTTTTTTTTTTCAACAACATATCTATACTATATGCCATTCATTGCTCTTTAATTTGAAAGCATTGTGGAGCCTACACACAAACCTACTATTCTTTACTCTTAACTTTGAAAGCAGTGTGGGGTATACACACCCACCTTACTGCTACTGCCACCATGGAGCATAAACTCTTGCATAGTGTTCGAAAAAGTTAAATTGGATCGGATTCGGATTTTGTCAAATCCTAACTGTCAGATTAATTTTGGCCCAGAAAATTTGGATTGGGCCAGATTGAGCGGGATTGGGCCTAATTTTAGGTCATTTCTTTATATAATCACTTTGAGTGATAAAATCAAATTTGTCACATGATAAATTCGAATATATCATGATTTGTATCACATCATGCTCTTGTGATCATGGAGCCTAATATGATATCCTTACACTGCTACTGCAGCCAAGAAGCCTAATTTTCACTAACATAAGGTTTTGTATTACTACTATAGCAGAGAAGTATAATTTTCATCTAATCACTAACAAAGGAATATACTGTTAATGCAGCAAAAATTTGTTTCTTGCTGATATAAGGTCCTTGTACTGCTACTGCAGCTGTAAATTCTAATTCTCACTAACATAATGGTCCTTACACTGCTACTGCAGCTAAGGTTGTAAAACTTACAATAATTTCAAATTTTGATATAACTTATGATATAACTTACAAGCAATTTTTATATGTTCAATTAACCAAAATTTCAAGATCATGTAAGTTATTATATAAGTTATAATGTAAGTTTATAAGCCTTGAAGCTTAATTTTCACTACTATAAGGTATTTGCACTGCTATTACAACTGCAAAGTGTAAATCTCATCTAAAGTCATTGCGCAATTAGCAAAAGGATACACTGCTAATACAGTCAAAAATTGGTTTTTCACTAACATAAGGTCTTTGCACTGCTACTGCAGCCACGGAGTCTACTTCCCACTAACATAAGGTCCTTGCACTGCTACTGCAGTCATGGAGCCTGCTTCTCATTAACATAAAGTCCTTGCACTGCTACTGCATCTGCGGACTCTAATTTTCACTAATATAAGGTCCTTGTACTGCCACTGCAGCTGCTGAGCCTAATTTTCACTAATATAAAGTTCTTTCACTAGCACTGCTATTACAGTCACAGAGCCTAATTTTCACTGAAATAAGTCCTTGCACTGCTACTACAGCCACGAAGCTTAATTCCCACTAACATTAAGTCTTTGCACTGCTATTACAGCTATCAAGCATAATTTTTATCTAAAATCATTGCACTATTAGCAAAAGGATACCCTGCTAATGCAGCCAAATCTAATATAAGGTCCTTGTACTGCTACTGCATCTGCACTGCTACTGCAGCTATAGAACCATCCTCACTAAAATAAGGTCCTTAACTGCAATCATAGAGCCTAATTCTCACTAACATAAAATCCTTGCAGTTCACTGCAGCAGCAGAGCCTATTTCTCACTAAGTCATCTCGCAGTATCAATTAATAAAAAGGATGCATAGGTTTTCATTGTTATATGATCCTTGTACTGTTATTTCAATCATGAAATCTAATCTTTGATATAAAGTCCTTGCATTGTTAACTGCTATTACAGTCCGAACTCTAGTTTCTCACTAACAAAAAGTTCTTGCATTGCTACACAGTCGGCACTGCTACTGCAACCACAGAGCCTATTTGCAAAATAATGCACTGCTACTGCAACCTGAAACCTAGTTTCTCATTGTGATAAGGCCCTTGCACTGCTACTGCAGCTGTAGACCCAATCTTTTGCATGAAGATGTTGCATCGCTACTGCAACGCAGAGCCCAATTTCTCACATAAGGTTCTTGTATTACTACTGCCACTTCGGGCCTAGGTGTGGAGCTAATTCTTGCTTACCCATACCATTAATCCTTTGAGGTGCTGTTGCACTACTCTTAGCTTTTATCTCATAATTTCGCACGTTTATAATGCCACCTAGCCAATACTTGCACTGTCCTCCCTTTCTTGAATGCCTTTCTTTCTCTTGAACATTCACTAACCATTTCACTGCTAAATGTCTGCCTTCCGAGCCATATGCCGCACTAAATTATTCAGATCACCCAAAATTGACTTCACCCGACTAACAACCGACCTCATGTGATCCAATAAAAAAATTTAGGTCGTAATCCACAACAAATCATCACCGCTACTTTAGCATCAAAATTGTAACCATCGAAAGGTCTTCAACCAGTTAATATTACTATCATAATAATTCAAAAGCTGTAAATATCAGCTGCTTGAGTGAATTTTTCTCCTTTCAGAATTCAGGTACTTCTGCAGATTTCAAATATTACCCTAATTATGAAAGAAAGATTGGCTTGTTCATGCGACGTAGCTGGACACAATGTCGAGCAGAAATTTCAAAGAACAAAGAATCAATGCAGATTATCAGATTACTCAAATACAATTTCGTCATGAACAAGTCCAGTGACTTGTTATTACATGGAATGTCCAGTGACTCGCAATAAGGTCCCGCCTTGTGACTCCGTTCACAAGCGGATCAGATTATACATTGATTATTGCTACCTTAAATAAAGGTACCGCACATCTTGCTTATAATTTGTGGATCGAATTTTCAACAACAAATAGAGGCATCCAAATTTAAAAACATTTTCTTGTAAGAAAGCTCATAATATACTAAAGTGTTATTACTTAATTAGATACGGCTAATTGAATCGGGATTTCAATTCAATTAATATGATAAAAAGGTAAAGATGTGTTTATTTTTCATATCAAAAAAAGTATGATAAATTATAAAGGTATAAATATTAAATGATAATATGAGTTTGTCCAAGGCCGCACCAGTCGGCCATAAATAATAAATTATAAAAGTGTAAAAGTTACAGTATAAATAAAACAAAATTTATACAAATAATTCAATTATAAAGAATAGAAAAAGGTTTCTTGGTTGTATTCAGTTATCTTATTTGCTAAGTAATTTACTAAATCCAATGGATTTTGAACCTATGAAAAATTTACTAAATCTTGAACCTATAAAAAATTATAAATTAGTATTGTATTGAATCAAATAAATGATAATATTAAATAAATTATTACCTTTACTGTACATTGTCCTAAAAGTTGATGCATTTGATGGTTTTGAACCTGTGCTATTAAAAGCTCTACTAGTATAAATTGCTTTAGAATGTAATTTGTAAGAAGGAAGTATTGATGTCGGTAAAATAAATTTATCAAAAGCTGAACTCATTAACCATTTATTGATAATAGTAAATAATTGTTTAGATGTTGGCCTTTTTTTAGGATCAGCATCCCAACATTCCTCAATTAATCTAGCCATTATTTTTGGTACATTTGATGGAATTTTTGGACGTTTA